ATTTTTAAAATCTTTGTTGTTATATAGGATAAAATGTCTTAAGCACATCAAAATTGTTAAATCATACCTAAATCGAATTAATACTCTGATACGTAGTTAGAATTCATTTCTACAAAATTAAAATTACAGCTTTATTTTTAATACTTTTACGCTTTAAACGCGAGATTTAAGATTAACGGTATTTTTGTTAAAAACAAAGGCTTTATTTTTTGAGAAAGTAAATTCGTGAAATAATGATATTAGATGTTCCGAAAGAATTAAAAGATGTCTTACGAAGCTTTACCTTGTTCGTCACGATCTTGAAGTGGGTACATAATAAACGTTGAATGTTACATGAAATATTATCACGCGTATTTTACTAGAAAAGAACTTGATATACTGACGCAGTAGACTCCAGAAGCTATAGAGGCTGTTGGATGAGAAAACTTTTTTAATCTTAACTTAAATCGAATTAAAGATATTTCTATAAACACGAATTGAATGAACATCTATTGATTGATCTGGTAGCAATTTCGTTTTAAAATAACGGATTTGTCACGTGATGATGTCTTTATACTCCATATTTAACGGGCGTGTAAATGTTTTAAACTTTTTCTCGTGGTTGTAGAATTTAACATTAATGATTGAGTATTTCCATGCAGCAGTTGATATAAATTACACAAGTACAAAGTGATTTATAATTAACTTTTTTTTTCATATTTGAATGAGTAATAATAACCTTTTTGATCTTACGTCGGATGATATAAAGATGTACAATTTGACTCATTTTCCATATTTTTCTCAAGAGACTTTCCAAAGCACAATTTTTTTATTTACCGTAAATGTTAAAATTAAATGAGTGAAATTATTAATACATTTGTATGGGAGATTGGAAGTTTTCAAGATTATGTAAAGAGCATTAGATATGGAAAATATATACAAAGTCATATATTTCGCATACCTCAAAGAACGTTCAACAAGGAACAAGGTGAAGAAGGTGATGATTCAACTGATTCAACCACTCTATGGCGTTTATTAATATACCCAAACGGATACACCGCCTCGAACCACATTTCCTTATATCTTGAAGCTATTAAAACGCCGTATGAGATAATTAAGGGCATTGATAAGAGAAATCAAATATATCATATTGGGATTGGAATATCCAACACCAGTTTGAATTTTCGATTATCAAGGGATTTGATTCATCAAAGAACTTCCAACAAAGTCACTTTTGATTTAAGTAAGGAATCACCATCATGGGGATTTAATAAATTCATCTCTTTAGATTCGATTTTCCCAGTTGGCGATAAATCAAAGAAGGTTGAATTATTCATTCAAGTGACCATTCTAGATGATAAACCTGTTGAAAAAGAGAAATATTATGGACAACTTGAAAAATGGTTTGAGTATGAAAATTTTACGGATGTGGAATTTATTCTAGATTGTGGATCGAGGATCAAGGCACATCGTATCATACTCGCGTCCAATTCAGAATACTTTAGAAACATGTTACAAGGTGGATGGAAAGAACAACATATGAAATCCATACCCATCAAAGAAACAAGGTTTGAAATATTTCGTACGATTCTTTATTACCTATATTCGGGCAAGCTGATGGATACGAGTCTTGTTACCCTCTGTGACGTTTTTCGTCAGGGTGACATGATGATGTTGGATGATATGAAGGCTTTAATTGCAAGGAAGTTGAAAAAGTTGATAAACGAAGATATCTGGGATGAAATCTTGTTATTGGCATGGGAGACAAAAGACCTTCAATTGAAAAACATTGGGTTGGAATACGCGATGGATAATTGGGAAAGGGTGAAAAAAAGGAAAAGGATTGACCCGCTTATTTGCAACATGTTTTGTTGATCACTTGGAAGAATTATTTTTTGTAACTAATAAAAGAAGTGAGATAGCAAAATGGCGAATTATTAATTGTCCAATCGAAACTTTTGAATTTTTTGATAAAATTGATTAATCGCTGCCTATATTCAGGAAAATATTTTACAATAAATACAAATTACTTATTACAGTAATATCTGACATAAATTACAAAATAAATAACAAGCTTTTATACACATATATTATATATTCTTTTTGCATAATCTTGAAATATTCAAAAAATTAGTGAATATAATGATCTTAGTATTATTAGAATTGAATTTTATAATATTAGCAGTTAATACAAAAAAAAAAAAAAAAAAAATGCTAAATGATGAAGCTTGATATGATTTTTTATTATGAAATTAGAAACCAATTAATAAATATTGTCTGGTAAAATGGATGGCAACAAGAGAAAGTAAAATAAATTAATTATTTGCTTATTACTATTTAAATTATATTATAAATTATATTAATATCAGTAGGTCAGAACAAGTTACCCGACCCGACGCGACCTGAAGAAATCGAGTTTACATATTTACTCAACGCAAACCGCCGGGTTACTCGAAATTTTCAGGTCAAACGGGTCGGGTCAAATCAGAACAGGTTACCTGATCTGATCTGACCAGACTCGTTCAGAGCTTTAAGATCTTGATTTTGTTTTTCCTAATTATAAAATAGCAAATTAATAATTTTTAAATTTTAAATTTGTAATATATCTTTAAATTGTTTACATTTTTTAATAATTTTAACTTGTATTTCTATTATTCTTTTAAAAAAGATACAAATATTTATTTTTTTACAAAAGAATTATATGAAAAATTATTTTGTATATAAGAATGTTAACAATTATATAGTGTGGAGAGAAAATTATGAATAAATTTTTCCGAAAAATTTATTCTTAATTTTCTCTCACAAAACAATACACACTTTTTATATATAAAATTAGACAATTATTTATAATATAAACCTTTTTTTAATAAATATTATTAATTAAACATAATAAACTATATATTACCTTAACTGAAAATTGAAAAAGCAAAAGAATTAAGAATTATTTATAAATGTGGGACGAAACCTCTTAATTATAGTCAAAACTCAGACAAAACTATATTAAACATATATAAAGGGTACGACGAAAACGACAAAAACCGAAACTGACGAAACTATATAAAAAATATAGCACGAAATTATTTTGTGGGAATATCGGCAGGCATCTATATATACATATATATATATTATTATTTTAAAAATTAAAAAATTAAAAAATTTTATACAATAGAAACAAACACATAAGTAAATTGAATATCAAGTTATAAATTACATTTTCATTATCTTTTTGATTTGAGTTATCTTACTTATCCTGAATCCTTAGCTTGTTTAATAATTTTTGCTTCATTTCAGAAAATTTATCGGAATTCCATTCACCATCTTTAATTAGTTCTTTAATTTTCCTACGAGTCTCATCAACATCGGCGTGATAATATCTAGTTTAAACAATGAGTTAAACTAATATTTTTAAATAAACATTGAATAAAACTACAATAAAAGTCTTACATCACGTCAGGGAACCAACTTTTCCAACGTCTCTGATTTGGAAATAAGTAAAATAATTCGATTTCTGCCAAAATCTATATTAATAAATTTTAATGATAAGAATACATAAATTAAATTATATATATCGTAATACTTCATAATATATACCTTCGCCATCTGTACAAAATACGAAACTCTATTATTATCTTCCTCAATAGCATTACTGAGCAATCCGATCAACAAGTTCATAAGATACACGGCAATTAATAATGAGAATAATACCATTAGTATGGTAAGTTGTGAATTATTCTTATATTCCCAGTTGGATAAAGCATTCGGATCGCCTGTTGATATTTTGGATATAGTCAATTATTATTAAAGATTTGAGTTTTAAAAGAAAAGAAATTTACCTATGAGATATAAATACATTGATAAAACTGAAGTTCCGTAATCAGTAAACATGTTTGTATTCATGTCGGGTTTTTGAACAAATGATGAATTTGGTGCAATGGTTCCATTTTCTAGTACTTGATTATAACTATCAGTTAATTTCCAAGGGTTATTGGGATCATTATTATCTAAAGGTGGTGGATTATCTAAACTATAATCTTTTCTTGGTTGTAACAGAATCAAAAAGGCATGAGCAAAACTCAAAAGTAAAATAAATAGAATAACTAAAAAGGAAGCTATCTTCCTTGCTACACTAACGATAATTACAAAATAGACACCAAATATTTCGAATGCTCTAAAAAACAACAAAAATTTGAAATCTAATAATAGACATGAAAGTGAAAGCCAAAAGAAGGGTTTATCGTTGGTACCTAACCAATAAATAGATGTAATGGTAGGAACTAAAAATGCTCCAAGATCTTAAAAATTAAAATATATTAGATAATTGAGGTCATTTATAATATTGGTATTGAAATATGTATAAGTTCTTACCTAAATAGTTCCAAGGATCAATAATCCATTTAATAGGGTCATAAATAAACTGACGAATTTCGAAAGTTAAATGAGTAAATCCTAGAACAATTGAGGAGATTAAAAATCGTTTTCTAATATCTTCAGATACGATCACGTCAGAAAATGTTGAAGCAGCCATAAAGCATCCAAGCAAAGCAGTAAATTTCATCCAAATTGCATAATAATAATATTTTCCATATGCATTCCACTTGAAATTAATTAATGCTTCACCATTCCATGTTTTATAAATTTCTCTATTTGTTGTTTCTACAAATGAACTAGGTCTAGGCGTAATTAATTCCCACCAGCTATAAATTTGTGGATAATTAACAAATTTGATATAAGGAATAATAAAAGTAATTGTAGGTATATGTTTCACAGTAAATATGGATTTATAACATTTATAATAACATTTATAATACCACTTAGAAAGTCTGTCGACGTAAATTTCATTAATTAAATGAAAATAATTTAAAATATGAAATAATGGAAAAGAAATAGGTAATGTCAAAAAAAATATTACATTTTGGATTGCAAAATAAATCTTCATTAATGACCGAATTATTCTCCTTCTATCATGATAATACATATCATCCACTTTAATTGTATACTTTGTCCAAATAATAGATGGTGTTAAATCAACAATTTTCATATTGGAAAAGTGATAAAGATGTGAAGTTAAAAGACGTTCAATTTCACATTCAAGAGAATCCATTATCATGATTGTATCTAATGAATATCTTGCTATATATTCAGGATAATATTTATCCAATAATGGCATTGATGCATTAATAACATTTAAAATATTGATATTATTATCTAAATCTTGTTCAAAGTGATGTAAACACTTATTATAAATATCATCTATTAGATATGAAACTTTTTTCTCAATCGCATATATTAATAATGCAGAACCATATTTTGAAAATTCTTCATTATTATTTTGAATATATGAAACCCATCCACTAACAAATACATAATACTTATCTTTACCATCAACCTCTGGATACCCAGTAATATTACTGATATTTTCGATTGTTCCCTTCAGATACGTATAATAAAAATAATTCAAAAAAATTGAACCCTCATCATTATTTAAATGGAAAATGAAAATGCCAATCTCTGTTTGCAGAGCAATGTCATTATTATATAATGATTTGCAAGCATAGAATTTTATGTCAATTTTAAATTGATCTAATTGATCTCTTAAATATTTATCTGCACCTAATAAACGAATCAAATCTACATTAACATGCAAATATTTTTCTTTAATCTTAATTATAAATTTATTCTTTTTTGCTAATTCTTTAATAGTAGTTATCCGTTTATTTAAATCTTTCATTAATTCTCTGATTTTATTTTTCCATTTATCATAATCTTCCTCTTCATCAATTATAGTTAGTTGTTTCAATAAAATTCTTTTTTAACGCTTGGCTAAATTTAATATCCAATTTATTCATACTTTTCATTTTAATAAATTCTTTGATCAGATTTTTATATTTATCTATCCGGCTTTCAAGATAATTCACATTTATTTTGATCTCAAATAACATTTTAATAAACTCTTTCACATCTTCCTCCATCAGTTTATTAAGATTTTCTTCAATTATGATTGTTTGTATTCCTAATTCATCTTTTTCGATTTTCCATATAATAGAACCTATATTTAATTGATATTCTCCTAAAATATCTTGTTGATAAGAAAAATACGAAAATTCTAGGTCTTTATCATCATTTTTAACTTTTAATACCACTAATAAATCCAAGTTTAATTCATTATCATCTACATTCAGGAATCTATAATTTTTTGATTGAGAATCAATAGCATAGCATTTATTATTAAGTTTCCAAATCAACAGATGATCAAATAAAGGAAATAACAAATTTTGATGATGTTTCATATAATGCTTTAGTTTTTCCTCTATAAGAAAATTTCCAAAAATACTTAAATACGAGCAAATAAACAATTATATTAAAGTTTAGTTTAAACAAAACGTTACCGTTTTTCAAATCCAAAGACGTCGCAGAAAATCCATGTTTATTTAAATGAATGAAAATTTTTTCATCATTTATTTTCATGCAAGTGTAATTTTCATTATTAGAAATTCTGATATCCTTTGTTTTGATCTGTTTAATGGATTGAAGAACTAAATATTAGTAATAACTTTGATACAGATAATAACTTTAAATTTTATCTATTACCTGATATATATTTTTAAATATAATTATATTATGGCCAGTAAGAAGATTCCATTCATATATATGGTGATTTAAACGCAGCCAAATTTTAGAATTCTTTATAATTATTGCTTCCGCATCTTTAGGTACCTTGTAGATATTTTGACACTTAGATTTTTGGTTTGTGTTGAGATTGAATAAATACAAACAATATTGATATAATTATAATAAACATTAGTACTAACAGAACAAAATAGATTTAGCCTTCCATCCTTGTTAAAGTTACAAATTTTTATCTCTATTGTATCAAATTCAAAATACAATTTGATTTCTTGATGTTGTTTATCATTCAAATCAACGATTTCTAATAAAAAATTTATCATGAAAATTATTTAATAATTATAGTGACAAATTAATCATTATACTTACTAATTTCATAATTATTATTAATATACGCTAGTATCTTTTCATCAGAGACACATATATGGAATATACTTCTAGATGTTTCAACTAATTCATGCTTGTAATAATTTATGTTGTTTTTCTTTCAAGTCTTCGCCTTCTATTATATCTTTAATATTTTCAACGTTCCACACAACAATTTTTTTGTCTGCTTCACTGTAAGTAACAAGATATTTTCCGTTCAGTGATATTTCCATCATACTAATAGGTTCACCATTATGTGGAGTTGGTATTTCGATGGAAACATTATCACTCATTTCTGTAAATAAAATTTAATACTTTTGGTTTTAAGAAAATACGGACAAATTATATTTTTAAAAAAAAATGAACGAAACAAATAAATTAATAAGCCATGTTTATTTTTGTGTAACCAACCAAGCCTAAGATTCAAAAAGTAAAAATTATAAGCCTTCCCGAATATTTATCAATATTTTGTGCTATGCTTTTAGCGGAACCAGTTCTATTACGAAAATATAATTTATTAATCTATTCAATAGATTTTATTAAATATATGGTAAATTGGTACAGCACGATACGATGACAAATTTCGCAAAAATTACTGATCTGCATAATCGTACTGTACCGGTTTTCTATTTACCTGTAAAAAAAAAGATTTTTAAAATAATGTCGATCATTTCCTAATTCTAATTTTAGATTTTTTGACTGACGTTATACGAAAAATGAGAGACTAATTGCTTGCTTTGTTAATAAGATAATCGATTATAAAAATTTAACCAAATAAGGTTCATATACCATATAATAATATGAATCAAAAATCTCTATTTTGGTTGCTAGAGTCCCGCAAGATGATTTTATTAGCAAACCTCCCATATGTTAATAGGGAGAGAGGGTCTGTCACATCTTGTATTGGCAAAATTTTCTTTGCGGTCAGACCATTTGAAAGACAACATGAAAAATAACATTGCTAATAAAAGAAACTTTGTTTGTGAAAACTCCTAATCTCTTCAATTTCGCTAAGATTAGATAAATCCATTTTCCAAGATTCATCTTTAATTGTTGTGAGACCACGGACTTAGGATAAATTAGTTTGATCCATATTTCGCAATACAGTTCACCCTTTCTATACCGAATTTTTTATAGTGAAAAACTTACTATAATGAAGAAAAGTTCAGGTACAAATTATTTTATAATTAATAATACTTAATATAGCGAATTTTATTGTAAATATTTTGTAACTCATAACTCGAATTTGCATGTTAGAACAAGTATAATAAAATGACCCTTGATATAGTGAAGATTTTTGCTATACTGAATTTTTAAAATGTCACACAATTAATTAACGAATTTTGATCACGTGAAATTAATAAAGTCAATTCGAACTTGCCTTTAGAAGTTAGAATTTCGATCAATTCTTTTTTTCACATGCCACTATGCCTAAAACTAACAATACATGAAGTAAAAATTCCCAAGCAAAAGATACTTTGCCAAAAAGAATATCTTTAACTCTTGCCTAAAAATATGAAATATGTCTTAGAAAAGTTACTGAGCCTTCTATAAAAAATAAAGAACTAGCAGTAATATATAATGTTAGTGAAGAATGTATTAGTGATACATTAAAAAAATCACAAAAATGGCTTGAAATTAATTCCTAAGCACCCGAAGCTCAAGGTAAAAGACAGATCAAGGTAAATTTTCCAGAAATTGAAGAAGCTCTTACATTATGGGTATTAAAGGCTTTAGAACATGGTGTTGATATCAGTGATCAATTTTACATGAAAAAGCTATGGCATTTGCTTCTCTATATAAAATTGAAAATTTTAAAGGAAGTAATGGTTGGATTAGCGGGTTTAAAAAAAGACATAACCTTTCTTATTATTTAAAACAAGGAAAAGCTGCAAGCGTGCCTCTTGATCAACTTGATAAATTCAGAAAAAAACTTCAAGATTTGATTCGTAATTATAGTCTTGAAGATGTTTTCAATTGTGATGAAACGGGTTTGTATTAGAAAATAGAACCCAAAAGGACGATCTCTAATAAACTTGTATCTGGGCGAAAACAATCAAAAGAGCGTGTGATAATTCTTCTTTGTTCTAATGCAACTGGTACAGAAAAACTCAAACCAGTATTTATCCACAAATATAAAAATTCTCGTCCTCTAAAAAATTTACCTAAAAGATCTTTGCCAGTGAAATATTACTGGAATTCAACAGCTTAGATGCAGGTTTCTATTTGGAATGATTGGATTCGTCAGCTTGATGCAGCAATGAGATTAAAGGAAAGAAATATTCTTCTTCTTATGGATAATGCACCTGTTCATGCTTTATATGAAGATGTGGAATTAACCAATATAAAAATTGAATTTTTACCTCCTAACACCACTGTGCATCTTCAGCCATGTGATAAAGGCATTATAAACAGCTTTAAAGTACTAAAATTTCAAACCAATTTGATAATTAAAAATTTTAATTTTAACTTACAGTATCTGCATTTTGTAGGCGCAATATCGAAAATTGTTTCTTCAA